GACTCTCCCATGAAAAACTCCGACTATTCAGTTTTCTCTCAATCCTTCTCTCTCACACTTCTTTCTTTTGCAGGAATTCTGTGGAGGACCTTCAAGACCCCTACAATGGACTGAGGGGTAAAATGTCCATTTTGCCCCTCGACCGTTTTTCAGTTAATTTTTTTTAATACGTTACACAACCACAGTTCTCAATCTAGTAGAGGTCTAGTAGAATGATTGTGATTCGGAAGCAATGGCGATGACTTGGAAGCTGTTGAAAGCAGAAAGCTGTAGTTATTGTGATACTCGATTGGACTTATCACGATGGATGATTGGTGAGTGTAAAGACTTCACTGATTGGGTTAGGGTTTGGCTTTGACTCTGATACCAAACCCTAACTTAGTATTAGACTTATCACGATGGATGATAGGTGACTGTAAAGGCTTCACTTATTGAGTTAGGGTTTCGCATCACGGTTCGACTTTGATACCAAACTCTAACTCAAGAGAAAATTTTGATATTCAAAAATACCAAAATCAGTGCCATAATATCATGTAAGAATGAGAAATAAAAGTAGAATTGGAATCGAACATATATTCTCATTGATATTCATGGATACAATCTAACCACCCGTACCTATAATAAATAAGAGAATATTAAGATATAAATCAAATCCGAAAAAGAAGAAAATTAAGATATATTTGATAAATAACATTGTATATATAATAGAATTCCACTTGTTTTGGATTTAAAAGCTCACACGTTCATGAATCATATTATTACGTCCTTCAATTTACGGCGCGATTTCTTGTTCTTCTGTCCATTTGCACGTGTCAAAATCAGTCGCTTAAATCTTCGCTACTTTTCATACTCTGCAAACCCATTAATCTATTGATTTCCGGGTCCTCTTTTCCACTCTGTTCAAATCCCATTCTTCACGTTCTTCATCCTTGCATTCAGACTACGGGATTTGAATTCTTTCGCCACCAAAGCTGTGTGTCGCCTCTCCAGGTGTTTCACTCTGTTCACTAAATTATCATTTATTTCCCACGTTTGTTAATATTTAATCCCGATTTGATTACAACTTGTTATTGTATTCATATGGCGTTCATTGTGGAATCTCTCTCGTCTGTTTACTTTCTTTGAGTTTTGCAATAAAACCCCAGATTTTCTTAAGAATGTAGAAACTCACGAAATTAAAAGTTCTTGGTCTAATATATGATAAACGGGGTTGTTGTCAATCTTGAGAAGACTATTTCCAGGTATGGAAATCACCAATCCTCTCCATAAATTTTCTGCTAAAATTTCGTGCATTTTGTGCTGGATTCTCTCTTCACAGCTCATCTTTCCTGTTGTCCAACCTGTGTATTCAATGCTGTTTCTTCACGCTCGCTCTCCTGATTCTGAGGATACTTTGCATATAAGAACATCAATCCCATTGTTCACTGAGTTATCAACATTCGTTTCTTCAGTTATTTTTTTAAGACTTTTCTTTGTTGTTTAGGTATAGGGATCTATCATGACTGGTTCTACTGAAGAATCTGCGGCTCCAGCGAGGACTGGGGTTTGTTCTTATCCCTTTGTTCCTCATGTTTATGTGTAATTAGTAGAGCCAAATTTTTGCTTGATTTTTATTTGAATTTTCTTGAGCAGGGGAAGTTTACAGCTCTGGCAGTTTGCTGGGTTCTAGGCTTTGGTTCCCTCGTTTGTTGGAATAGTATGCTAACTATTGGAGATTACTATTATCTATTGTTTCCGGTAATCATAATCAACCTTATGACTCTGATTTGTGTATTTTAAACACTGATTCTTTCATTTGTTGTGTTGGTAGTTTTAGTCAATCGATTAGCTTCCTTTTAGCTTTATAGAGTAGAAGATTTCCAAACTTGTGGGAAGATCTGAGACTTTCATGTTTTTCAAAATTTTGATTCGTGTTATCTCAAGTTACTTGAGTTGAAGAATTATAATCTTTACTTTTTTGAAAATTTGAAGGATTATCATCCTTCAAGAGTACTCACTCTCGTGTATCAACCATTTGCATTTGGAACCATTGCAATTCTGGCATATAATGAAGCAAAAATAGATACCCGATGGAGGAACATTCGTGGATACACTCTCTTCTTCATAAGTTCTGTGTTGCTTATACTTGTAAGTAATAGCCGCTGCTTTCTAAATTGAAATGGACACATAATTTCATATGAGTTAAAGTTGACACTGAACTTTTTGCAATAGTTGGATTTGGTCTCCTCTGGAAGAGGAGGGATTGGACCATATATTGCTCTGTGTATCATCGTCGGTTCTTTCGGTGTCGCCGATGCCTTCGTGCAAGGTGGGATGGTTGGAGATCTCGCTTTGATGTGTCCTGAATTCATCCAGGTCCTTTTTCAGTCTCTTAGTTCTTATTGGGCGAGGGGCATAAAGTTTGGATTTTACAAGTTGTTCTTTTGTCACGGCAGTCTTTCATGGCTGGATTGGCTGCCTCAGGAGCTCTAACTTCAGGGTTGAGGTTGATCACAAAAGCTGCATTTGAGAACGTTCATGATGGTCTTCGTAAAGGGACGAGTATGTCAATTCTATTCAACCACTCAACATTCAGCTTATAAATTGTGGAATAAGCATTATGTAGCCCAGTACTTGGCTATCAGTTCCTTTAAACTTGTGCAGTTCAAACTATAACTTCGTGCTTCTTTAATGTTTTATGCAGTTCTATTTCTAACGATATCTGCTGCTTTCGAGTTCCTTTGTGTTATTCTCTATGCGTCAGTCTTTCCTAAAATCCCACTAGTGAAGTTCTACCGTAAAAAGGCAGCCTCTGAAGGATCGAAAACCGTGTCAGCTGACCTTGCCGCTGCAGGCATCCAGCTTCAACTAAACCAAGTGTGACATCCTTCGCATGTTTTTTCATTTATAATACCAAAAGAAAATCCTGATTTTTTATTAATAGCTATTTTTAATCTTCACAGGGAAACAAAACTGAAGTACTTACCAAAAAGAAACTTCTTCAACAGAACATGGATTATCTTTTGGGCGTGTCACTGATATACGTTCTCACATTGTCAATATTTCCGGGCTTCTTGTATGAAAATACTGGAGAACACCAATTGGGTTCATGGTAGATACTCACTCTTGACACAATTAGATATATAATCCTTGAAGAACAACACCATATTTAGTGTCTTGTGCTGCTGATATGTCAGGTATCCACTTGTTTTGATAGCAATGTACAATGTGTGGGATCTGATAGGCAGATACTCACCTCTCATCAAATTTCTGAAGTTGGAGTCGAGGAAGGGCCTCTTGATCTCAATTCTGAGTCGTTTTCTACTAATCCCAGCGTTTTACTTCACAGCAAAGTATGGTGATCAAGGGTGGATGATCATGCTCACTTCCTTCTTGGGATTGACCAATGGCCATCTTACAGTTTGTGTTTTTACTGCCGCACCTAAAGACTACAAGGTCAGTTGCATAGCAAATAACTTAACAATATCCTTTCATTTTGCTGTGAATCTGAAATATATTTGTGTGGTTTTTTGAAGGCACCTGAGCAGAATGCGTTGGGGAATATGCTTGTCATGTTCCTTTTAGGAGGCATTTTTGCAGGAGTTTCCCTTGGTTGGTTGTGGATCATTGGAAATGGCAGCTTTTGAAGCATTAGTTAAACTTCATTTGATGAACAAAGTGGAGATATCTGTTTATGAATATGCTTGCAGGATGAATAGCTAGCTTTTAACACCCACTGTTTTTTTCTTTTTTCTTTTTCCTCTTCACATTTCGATTTTAAGAAATAGGATTATATTTGTTTCTTGTTTTTTCCCCGCTTATTCTAATTGTAATTATATCAGCTGGATTTTAAACCTTCTAATGGTCAAGTGACATGTGGTAGTTGAACGTTAATACGACACTAGTGCAATAGTTCAAGTTTGTCCACTCTAATAGATATTGTTCGCTTTGATTCGTTATGTAACGCCGTCAGTCTCACGATTCTAGGAGAAATTTTCATTACATTATAAGGAATATGTCGTTACTCTCTCTAACCCACTTGAGATCTCACAATCTATAATATATCCACTTGTGGTCCAGTGTTCTCTCTGGCACATCATCCAGTGCCTGACTTTGATACCATTTGTAGAAGTAGCATGTTCTCTCTAGCACATCACCTAGTGCCTGACTTTGATATCATTTGAAGAAGTAGCAATCCTCCCTGACACACCGTTCAGTGTCTTGTTTTGATTCATTTGGCTTTGATACCATTTGTAAAAGCAGCGTCCTCCCTGGCACACCGCTCAGTGTCTAGCTTTGATACCATTTGTAAAAGCAGCATCCTTCCTAACATAGCGTCTAGTGTCTAGCTTTGATATCATTTGTAAAAATAGCGTCCACTCTAACACACTGTCCAGTGTCTAGCTCTAATACCATTTGTAAAAGCAGCGTCCTCTTTGTCTGTAAGAGCCGAGCTCCAATAAAAGCTTAAAATTTAATTTTTCCTTTAAAGTCAAACTCTCGATATTTTATTGAAGGTCTTAGAGACTAAAGATCAAGGTGAGACCGAAGAGAAAAATGAGTGAAAATGAAGGAAGAACTTAAAAGAAAAATGATGGAAAATTATTAATATGGTCAAATTCAACTCGAAAGGGTAATTTAGTCATTATACCCACCCGGTCAAACCCCTGGAATTAAGTTTAGTGAGATATGATAAAAAAAAAAAGGAAAAGAGGGAAAAGAAAAGAAAAGAACAGGAGAGGAGGAGAGAGAGGGAGAAAGTTCTCGAGAGAGAAGGAGAGTTCTAGAGAGAGAAAGGAGGTAACCACCGCTCCGACCACGAGGAATCCGGTTCCGGCCGAGCCTTCTTCGTGAAATCTTCACATAACTTAGAGGAGAACATCCTTAACCTTTAGATCGTCCAAAACCATCCAGAAACGAGGAAAAATCTAAAGGCAAAGTTCTTGAATCTAGATTCTCGGATTTCCTTCCATCTGTGAGATATATTAAGAGTTAGAACCTGAAAATTTGAGTATGTTAATCTACAGAGGATTACGCTCAAAACCTGTGAAGGAGTTGGGATCGGTTCAGATCGGAAATGGGAGTTCCGGCGTTCGTCAAAGAGGTAGGTATTGATGTTTCTTGCCATCTTCAGACTAAGATAATTATCCCGGGGAATAGGAATAAATTACAAGAAAAATACCTGCCTAAAGATGAATATACGCTCTACAAATCTCGTGAAGGAACCATGTTGATCCGAGTTAAGTAAAACGAAATGTGAAAATGCAAAGAAAATGGAAAAAAGTAATCGTATGCTGGAAATCGCAGGAGAGAGGGCTGGCCGGAGAAGAAGGGCCACGTGTCAAGCGTCTATTGGAAAAGAAAATCAAAGAAATACTTCGCGTCGGGCAGGATTCGAAGGTCGGCGGCTCGCTACCCGATTACCCGCGCACCACCCGGCTTCGCGTTGTCACGCGTCAGCGTAAAAGAATAAAGATTTCCAGCGCGTCCTTCCGGTTTCGAACCGACGACCTCGACCTCGGCTGACCGTTCACCGGGCGCCACGTCGCAACACCTCAGCGCGCGTCTTCCTTCCCTCATGCGCGTCCGTACGCGCACGTGTAATGCTTCCCCAGGCGCGTGTGAAATAGGTCCTAATTGAGGAAAAATCACGGCTGTTTTTTTGGCTAGTTCGACTTCTGTTTTTCCTGCTCCTGATTCCAATCCTAAACCGATTTTGTATGAAATAGGACCTAATTGAGGAAAAATCACCGCTTTTCGATATGCCAAGTGTGTGGAAACGCTGCGTAAGGGCAGACATCGTCCAGGTAAGTCACCACACGGAATTCTACGAAGTAATACTTGTAGGAGTCGCTTGGAATGCATGCATGCTAGTTTAATTATCTTAGGGCGTAGTTTCCTGTGACAGTATGTAGGTAATTGATTATTAAAGTAGGATGCATTATGTGAATGACTATGAGAATTACCTGAGTATTGTTGTTAAGTTTTAAGTTTCTGCTATTTATGCATATGGATATTCTATGCTGAAAGGAGGATGGGAATTTGTGAAATCTGCGCTCCGGGAGTTGATGGACGTTATCGCCCCATTGAGATTGTATGTTTACTTTGCATGAATATTGTTTGATGACGTTGGATGATAGTTATGTACGTAATCTGCTAATTTTCATGGCCACTTTTATGATTAAGTCCAAAGATTCATGGTTAGAGCGTCAAGTCACCAAGGAATAGACTTAACATAAAAAGGAACTCTAGGGGTATGAATAAAAGGTCTAAGAACCAAAGAAGTCCGAAGGTACAAGTTCCAAGGGGGAAAGCCCTAATGAGCTAAGACTAGAATCCGTCGTTCTAGAACCAAGGGAAAGTCTTAGATCGTTTGCTAAGTTTAGGGTGCGACAAGAGCTTACAAGTAGGTGGCTTATTGAGTATAAATTTTTATACTCATTCCTTTCTACTCTTTTTTTTTTTTTTTGCAGGTACCGGTCGAGGTGNTTTTTTTTTTTTTTTTTGCAGGTACCGGTCGAGGTGGAGGAGCGTTCGAGAGCTGTGGGTCACAGAAGGGGTCGTTCCGGAGCGTTAGTCATTTGTCGATCTTTTAGAGTCTTTTGTATTTCCTTTTATATTTGTAATTCCTCTTGTAATAATTTCGAAACAAATCTTCTCTCTCTTGTTTTAATTAAATGGTATTCTGATCTTTTTACTTTGCTTTTCTTTTATTTTCTTTTTGTTTGTTTTCAGTTTCATCCTTTGGTTCACGGTCCGGTTTTCGAAGCCTCGAAAGTCGGGTCCTGACATTGACACACCGTCCAGTGTCTAACTTTGATACCATTTGTAAAAGCAACGTCCTCCCTGTCACATCGCGCAGTGTCTAGCTTTGATACCATTTGTAAAGTAGAGTTCTCTCTGGCACACAGCTAAGTGTCTAGCTTTGATACCATTTGTAAAAGCAGCATCCTCCCTGGCACACTGCGCAGTGTCTAGCTTTGATACCATTTGTAAAAGCAGCATCCTCCTTGATACACCGCCCAGTGTCTAACTTTGATATCATTTGTCAAAGCAGCATCCTCCCTAAAACATCATCCAATATCTAGCTTTGATATCATTCATAAAAGGGCGTGGAAACCTTGGTAGTCGATGAGGGGGCTGGATAATGTGCCCAAGTCCTTCCATGGGCCTATTGGGCTTTGGTTGTCCCCATCCTGAAATCGGTATGATATCTCATATCAGTCTGCGCATTTTGTTTTTTCTTTTTTTAAAAAAGTATATCAGTCTGAACTCACTGCTACAAGCAAGCATGTGCCTACGAACGTCATTCTCACATATTTGCTCATTTTTCTTTGCATCTAAACTCAAAATCAACGAATTTTAAAACCTCGAATTCACCGAAAATATAATACAGATTCTAAAATGTTCATATCCCATTTGAACATATTCAACAAATGGGTCTTTTTCTTTATGATTCAAATGAGTGATCAAATTACCTTGGACAGTGTGACAGAAGCCATATAAACACATATTCCTCACTCTTTATAACCTCTGCATGTCATAAACAGAGTCACATTTTGAGCAATTTTCAGCACCAAAATCCTGCCTTTATTATGTTAATGACACAAAAAAGAAGGCAAAAATCTGCATTTTGAGACACAGCACAAGATGCCTGTTCTGTTCTTATTTCCCACATTAACATCTGACATCTAAACATATGCACAGAAAATTTTGTTTCAAGAAACAGGAAATTCATGTTTTTTTAAAAAAAAAAAAAATTAAGAAGTTGGGTTTACCTCTGAATTAATCAATGTTTATGAGATGATAAGCATCATTATACAATTGAAAATTGTATTTAGTTTCAGGAATTTGATCTTAATCTGTTACCAATCAGGATTTGGGGTTTCCTGATTATTACGAATGTGCCACTTCCTTCCTTTTGGGACTCCCTCTGTTTTGTTTCCCCTAATAAATGTTCATTATATTTCGACGCCCTCCTCCGTCTTCCCTCCCCCTTTTCTTTTCTACTGCATTTTTTTCTGCTCCAGAGATTGGCTTTTTTGGGTGTCCGACTTTCTGGGTTTTCTTCATCTGATTGTTTTCTCTGAGAAAATTTGTGTGTTTTTTTTGTTTGGGAGGGCTAATGGAAGAAGAAGAAGAGGGACTTCCTGACAATCTGCGGTGCAAGAGGACTGATGGGAAGCAATGGCGTTGCAAGCGAAGAGTGATGGAGAATCTGAAGCTCTGTGAAATTCACTATCTCCAAGGCCGTCATCGCCAATACAAGGAGAAAGTTCCTGATTCTCTCAAACTTCAAAGGACGAACAGGAAATCGATTGAAGCAGATTCGAATGTTGAAAACCTCGTAATTAGGGCCCCGAAAGCGGCAGCACTGGCGAAACTAATGAAGAAGAAGAAGAAGAAATTAGCGGGGGCTTCAGCCGCATTGGATGGGATTCTAAATAGAATGAAGATGAAGAAAGGGAGTATGCAGGTGGAGTTGATACGGATGGTGCTGCGGAGGGAAGTGGAGAAGAGAAGAAAGAAGAAGGTTGTGGAGAAGACCAGGAAGAGTATGAAGAACTTTGGTAACGAAATTGAGTTGGAGAAGAACAGTGATAAGGAAATGATGAGACAATTGCCCAATGGACTCATGGCTATTTCTCCTTCTCCATCTCCTCTCCAATCTGGCAATGAAGCTTCTTCCAGCGGAATCAAGTCTGGGGCAGAATCAAGGCCGATTCAGCAACGGCGATTTCGGTCCAAGAATGTCAATATTCTTCCAGTTGGTGACTTGCAGGTAAACATATTCGTTTCTGTTCCACTGATGTGGTTCGATTGGAGATCCAATTTGTTGATTTCAATGGTTTCTTCTATTTAGTTTTCAGCATTTTTCTTTCCCTTAGGTTCTACCATATGGGCGTAATGTGGGGAAATTGAGAAAATGTAGGAGGAAGAAGTGCCATGGATGTCAGAAAAGTACTTCTTGGAGTTTAACTCAGTGTTCAAGTTGTCAAAAAACCTTCTTCTGCGTAGACTGCATCAGGGAGCGGTAAGTGTTGGGTGTTTTGTTCAACTCGGGCCTTTCCATTGATGATTATGAACTTTTATTCAGATGTTGATTGGCTTAGTTCACAACTCCAGGGCCTTAATCCGGAGTTGGCATGATTAAAGTATAAGAATGTATAAGGATTTGTTAAGGGTAGTCAATTTGCTTAGATAAGTTGATATAAACGCCGGCACGTATTTCCTTATCAACCCGATTGCTCCTCCCCTCCCTCGAGCCAATAACTTGTATATGCCGTAGTTATGATATATTAAACTTGTCGATTAGCAATAAGCAACTTTCTTGGGGAAACTTGTACAAATTTCATATTATAGAGCATTGTCAGTACTTTGAAAGAATTAAATGAAAGAAAAACATCCTTATGTTTCACATTATGATTATGACTTTTCACCTTTACCATTTTTTGAGATGAGATTATCCTTTAACTCTAAGTTTATGATGATGCAGGTACTTCGATACACCGGAAGAAGTTAAAAGGGCTTGCCCTGTTTGCCGTGGGATTTGCAACTGTAAGGACTGCTCAGTGTATCAATCTTTGCACACAGAATGTAAGGTCTGATATGAAAGGCTTATTTGTGTCTACCCATGGTTCTTGCAAAGTTGAATATTGATGCTCATCAGCTTAATCAATTTCAGGATTTTTTGGGAGATGGCGTTGGAAAAATTTTACGTTTCCATTATTTGATTTGTGTTCTTCTCCCTATACTCAAACAAATAAACATAGAGAAGCACGCTGAGCTTGAAACAGAGGCCATGGTAAAAGGTAGCATTAGATTCAACAACTATTGGTTATATATTGATTAATTCTGATTTCGATCAAAATGTGTTATTTGTTTGCAATTTCCTTTTCTGAGTTTCTTGCGTGCAATAGGGATAGAACTTTCCGAAGTTGATATCAAGCAGGAAGAATTTGGCAGTCTTGAACATTGTTGGTATGCTGCTTCATATGCTGGAACAAATAGTACCTGCCATACTTCTTTTTGATATCTAATTTCCTTGACTTCTCATGATTGGTTTCACAATTGATGTACAGCAGTAACTGCAAAACTATGATTGCGGATCTCTACAGAAGTTGCCCAAGTTGTTCCTATAATCTCTGCTTAAGCTGCTGCCGTAATCATGAGGATTCGAATGGAGTATATAGCATGTCTATTCCGAAGTATCGTAATGGAAAGAAAACCTGTCTGTCTGAGAAAAAGAAACTTTTGAAAAATAAGAATTTAAATCCTAGTCTGTGGCTTCCTTCTTCCAAATCATTGCATAAAGGGAGAGTTCATAATAGTGTTAAACATTTTTCTTGTCCGTCAAAAGAATGTGGCAGTTGCATTGACAGCCTTCTTGAGTTGAGATGTATTTTCCCGTTAAGTTGGACTAAGGAACTTGAAGTGAGTGCAGAAGAAATAGTATGCAGCTATGACTTTCCAGAGTCTGTTGATGCGTCGTCAAACTGTACTTTGTGCTTTAGTGAGGATCATAAGGTTGATGGAACTGAAGAGTTCCAGAAAGTAGCTGTCCGAGAGGATTCAAATGATAACTATTTGTATTATCCCAGCCTTCATGACATCCGTCTTGATGACCTCGAGCACTTTCAGAGGCACTGGGTTAAGGGTCATCCAGTAATTGTACGTAATGTACTGGAGAATTCAGATCTGACTTGGGATCCAGTAGTTATGTTTTGTACTTACCTTGAGAGAACCATTTCAAGATACGAAAATAGCACGAGTCTCCCCGAAGCTACCAATAACTTGGATTGGTGTGAGGTCAGCATTATCCCCAGCAAACTTTGTAGATGCAATATACACGTTCGCCTCTTTGTATTTGGATTTCTGTTTGTTGGGTTTGAATGATTCTATCTTGTTTGGAAGTTCCTCCGTTTGTGACCTTTGAATTCCTCGTGCAGGTAGAAATTGGCATTAGGCAGTATTTTATGGGTTCTCTAAAGGGGCAGACACACACAAACACTTGTAACAACATGCTAAAATTAAAAGGTTGGCTTTCTTCCCATTTGTTTCAAGAGC